TATCACAGTCTATTATCACATACTTATGCTCTAAAGTATACAATAGTACAAAGTCTAGAGTAGTAACCTAGATTTTGCTAATAACTACCCATTCCTAGACCCTACCTAGCTACCCTACCTATACCTATACCTAGTCACGTGCTACCCTACCTATACCTATACCCAGTCACGTGCTACCCTACCCAAACCGTTTGGGTAGGGTACCTCGTATACCCTACCTAGTTCCTACCCACTAGTCACGTGACTATACCTATACCCTACCCTACCCTACCCATCCGCCAGCCTAAGGTGGCCGGCTCAATTGCCTAGCCGACTCAATGGCCGATTACGTTATAGATTAGTACAATATACTGTGTAGCATAGTAGAATGCTGCTGTGTACTATAGTACTGCAAAGTAGTTATAGTGTTGGTGTGGCCTTGGCAAAAGTGACCGGTACACTTGGGTGACCGGCATGCTTGTGGAGTAACGTACTCTATCACCGAGCCGGTCATATCACCGAACCGGTCACTTAAAATCCCACCAAAAAACACAGAAACCATACCCCTGCATCTCAATAACTACTAAATGGAATCTTCTAAAAACTTCAGAATAGAGCTGCATCTATACTAATAAGACTGTTTAAAATTCTTAGAGTGCTTAGCCCTATATTGCAGATGTTGTTTAGAAGATACTGAAATACAGGGGTAGCTGCAGGCTATCTCAACATCTATACTAGCTATTAGTCTAAGACTTTTAAATAGTTTTATTAGTATAGATGCAGCTCTATTCTGAAGTTTTTAGAAGATTCCATTTAGTAGTTATTGAGATGCAGGGGTATGGTTTCTGTGTTTTTTGGTGGGATTTTAAGTGACCGGTTCAGTGATATGACCGGCTCGGTGATAGAGTACGTTACGTTAAAGGCTTTTTTATGTTGTTGCGTTGAGGCATTACAGGGAGAGTGAAGTTCGGTGTGGTCTTGGCAAAAGTGGCCAGCTCGCTTGGGTGGCCAGCTCGCTTGTGGAGTACGTTAGATAAGATTTCTAATAAGGGTAGGTAGTCTGTGTGTTAAAAATTTAAAAATTTAAATAGGAGGGCAGCACTCTTGCACTAGGCAGCGCGAGGCAACCAGGCGCCTAGAGGCTCTAGGAGTCTCAGGGTAGTATATCCCAGTTGGGTTGAGATGGACGCAGGCTTGAAGAGAGATATCTGGACAAGTTGTGTTTTAGTGTTCGTGCTGAGGCACAGATAGTTTGTTGCGGTATCAAGGGCAGATGTGAACGAGTGTATTGTGTTGTTCTGTGTTCTTGTTCTGCTTGTATCTTTGCTCTCCAAGGCTCGCTGCGGGGTCTGTTTTGATGACGTGTTTGTGATGCAGCTGAGGTAAGAGGTGCTCAACAAGATGAGGAAGCAGCACCAGACCACCGCCAACAACACGTGATCTGCTTCTCCTCTCAACCGTTTCATAGTTTGAAGCTGGCTGGGGTGTTCAGAAGAGAACGGCGAGTTGCTTGAGTAAAGCCAGTGGCAAGTGAAGGATAAGTGGAGGATCAGAGGTGAGAGCGACATTGACTGATAGGTAAGAGAAAACGAAGTTTTGGATAACGTACTCCACAAGCATGCCGGTCACCCAAGTGTACCGGTCACTTTTGCCAAGACCACACCAACACTATAACTACTTTGCAGTACTATAGTACACAGCAGCATTCTACTATGCTACACAGTATATTGTACTAATCTATAGTACTTTACGCATCTTTCTTACAAGTTGTTCTGTTGTGCCCTGTCTCGCCACATGTGCCACAGCGCCTTAAAGACTGAGTGCTCCCATCAACGCGTGACCTCTTCTTTGCCTTCTTCCCATCACTACGGGCCTCAAACTCCT